AAATAACCTGCTTACTGAGAAAGCAGCTTTCTTGGTAAGACAGGGAAGACCTCAGTTCTTCCACCTGGATAATTCTTACACCTTCTGAATCTAGAAGTAGATCTTTTTGCTGAAAATGATTGCTTAGAGCTGCCTTGTGAGTTCGGGAGAGAGTTAAAATACAAATGACGGTCTACAACATAAAATAATAGTGCTGTTGGCCTGCTCCACTAATTTGAGAAAAGACTGTGCATGTCTCAGGTTTCCTAATACAAAGTGTAGCATCTGTATATAGTGCAGGCTTTACTTGTATAGAAGCAACAACATCTTTTGGGTGGCCACTTTTGGATCACCCACCAAAAAAAGAAAACACCACAAAAACAATAGAGCTAAACAGGAAAACATGTGTTTAAAAGTTGCATGCATGTGTGTGTGGGGGGGGAAAATATAGAAATAATTATTATAATTCAGAAAGGAATATACAACATGCCTCTGTGGTGGAGAAAGCAGTGGCCAGGTGAGTTGTGATCCTGCCTGCTCAATCTGCTGTCCAGGTGCCATCTGAGAATGGGCGACTTTTCTCAAGGGTGCTTCTGTCCTGCCTTTCTTGTGCTGATTTTGAATCAACCTGGATAGGACATCCTTTCAAACAAAAAAAGGACTGTGAAGTTGGAAGCAGGGGCGTCCTGACAGGAGGAGGCATCAGAATTGCCCAGAAGACACCCTCTCTGCCCTTTCTTACCTTTGTTGCCCTATTCACCTGTTTCAGGATTGTCATGGAAACAGGCTTGGGATGCTTTTCAAGTCACCTAGGTGATGGATCTGAGCTACATTTCCCAAACAAGAGGCAGAACAGGGAGGGGGCTGTGAGGAAGGGCAAGGAGCCAAGTCAGGGGAAGGAAGGAGGAGGAGGTGGTGGAAGAAGAAGGAGCCTGGCAGCAGTACCCAGGCATCACCCCGTGGAATGGATGGCAGCAGCTCCCACCAAAACCCCGCAAGGAGGTGCCTGCCTGCTTTGCAGTTGTGCCTGGATGGTATATTTATGAGCACTGAGCTGCAGTATATAACCATGGGGATGGGGCTGATTGAGCAGCCTGTTATCTCAGCAGCTAAATGGGTAATTGGGAGCAGGAGACGCTATCGGCGGCAATAAATCCCCCAGAAAAGCCAGTGCATTAAACAGGGCTTTAGTATCAATTATCCCTCTCAGCAGTCTTGAATGGAGAAAGTGATGTCTTTTCAGCCTGGCAGGGGGCTTTTTTGGGATGCCCCTGACCCAAACATTAAGAGAAGGGAGGAAGAGGCCTAGATACAAGAACTTTCTTCAGGGGGGTTGTGTGGAGATGTGGATGGGCTAAGGATCTCCCCAGAGGGCAAGACTTCAGTGGCTGTCTATACACAACCACACACACCACACACACACAAAATAAAAATAAAAAATAAAACTAGGGAGTGGTCTTAGCAGCCAATCCAGAAAATTTATAGATTTGCTTCTAAAATCATTCCTTAGTTTATGGTATAAATTGTTGGCCTTGTGATGGATAGAGGGAACCTAAACATACCACATGCATTTCCCACCCCCAAGTGATACACACATCTAGAGCAGGAAGATGGAAATCGTTGGGATAAGAACAGAATATCTTTTACCAGGAATAGAGGGCTTTTTAGAGCCAGTATGGCATACTGGTTTGAGTGTAGGACTGCAACTCTGGAGACCAGGGTTCAATTCCCCGCTCAGCCATGAAACCCACTGGGTGATCTTGGGCAAGTCACATACTCTCATCCTCAGGGAAAGACAATGGAAAGCCTTCTCTTAACAAATTGTGCAAAGAATACCCTGCGATAGGTTCACCTTAAGGTCACCATAAGTCAGAAACCACTTGAAGGAATACAACAAAAAGGGCTTTTTAATAAGACCACACATACTGGATTAGAAGGAGGAAGGTGTTTGTTGAGTGTAACTTCCAGCCAGGCTCCAGCTTTTCAGTTTGTTGAACTTTGTTCCATAAACACAAGCCATGCAGTCTTCTCAGGGGTGAGGAAGAGGCTGACTGCAAACAGGGTAGACATGTTTCCTATTTTATTGTGGACACCCCCCCAAATCAAAATCTCACTTGTATATACAGATAAAAACTGTAAGAAGGAAGAAAAGCCCATGAAGCTGAACCTCACAGTTCACACTGAGGGAACCTACTGAGCAACAGGCACACAGGCAGGGGTGACACTATGGGGTTGCGGGCTGCACTGGGTGACACCTTAAGTGAAATGGTGTCATTGGTCCCCAAACGTCAAAGGCATAAAGTGAGGTATGGCTCTGTGGGCAGAGAAAGGAGACTCTTGCCTTGCTCACAACCATTGTCAGCAAGTGAGGTGAGCATCTCCTTCTCTGCTCACAGTCTCAACAGTCATGGACACTTCCCCTTCTTCCACCTCCCTAGCCAGCAGCCCTTCCAGATCCAGAAGAGGCTGCCAGGCTGGCGGGCAAAGAAGGTGGGAAAAGAAGAGGCAATGCAGTGGCAGAAAGATGGAGTCAGCCTCACCACTGCTGCACTTCCAATCTACTCAAAGAGATGGGTAGTAGTGGCAGCAGCAGAAACATGGAGTTGAACCCACTACCATAGCTGTCACCGCCACTACCACCCACCTCTTTGGGGATCACCAGCTCTCCAAAGATATTAGCAGTAGAAATGGCAGAAACATCACTAGATGTTTCATTGCATGATTATTACTGAAAGTAATTTTGTTGGGGGAGTTGTTAAAAAATGGTCCAACTTGGTATCAAATATGCTAGATACGCTACTGCACACTGGAACAGTCTTTTCCTACTACAGGTGAGTTGTATTACAGGTTTCTTTACATTAATATTAATGATTTCTAATTTTGAATTTATACACATAAATTAATGTGTGGGATATGTTAAGCATCTTTCCCTTGCCACATTGGTTTATAGCTGAGACTACAACCAGCTCAAGAAACTTTTCTGCCTGAAGCAAAGAACAAGAAGGCAATCCTCCAATTTCAGCTACTGGAGCCAACTCCACTGGCAGCTAAATCTTACTTCTGCCCTGGCGATGGGTCCAGTGAGTTTCCTGAGGGGAGGCAGGGCAGGTGTCTGGAACACACTGTTCTATTTTCCAATAACAAGCACCAGCCAACCATCCTTGCCAGCACTTGCTACCAGAGGTGATTGCCTCAGGGCTGGATTAGACACTATAGCTGAGCTTAAACATGCTGTGGCTCTGCACCAGGGACTCTTTCACACCACACAATTACAGCACTATGATTCCACTTCAAGTCCCATATGGGAGAA